TGTACATAGCACCACAGCAGGGGTGGGGGGTGGGGTGTTCCCACAGCCTGGTCTAGGGCCCCAGGGCCGGCAGGGCCTCCACAGCTATGTGTAGAGTCACTGAAAGGGAAGCTGGGCTTATTGTCCTATCTAGGCTGCTGGTATTCTACTTCTAGTTCAGAGCCTTTTATTTTTATTTATTTATTTTTTATCCCCTTGGTCGGCTAGACTAAAATCAAGTTAATTTGTCTGCAGTTCAGTGCTACTTAAGACTGAGGCTTGGAACTGCGCGTCTTTGTTATGCAAAAAGCCTCCAGGCCCTGCAGCTGGAAATCCTCAGCTAGGTTAATTCACGTGCTGATTTATGTTAAGGACCCCAGCCCAGGTGCTGTTTGCCGCTGCTGGGGGAGGGCTGCAGTTTGAGTTATTAACCTACAAAATATATTTCACCTTCTTTTTTATTTTTATTTTTCAATACCTGTGATGTGCTCTGGATTGGCAGCTGTCAGGCTGGTCCCCAGAGGGGCAAATCCAGTTCATGGGGGGGGGGGCTGTTTGCGTCTCTGCAGATTGGAATTGGTTATGCTCCCTGAATTCCGCTTATTTTCTCCCACACCGCGGTCTACTTCAGGTAGTAATCTGCTTTTTCTTCTATTCTAAATCATGGCTACCCGCCCACGCCACTCCCCAGGCGGTGAGCACAGGGCGGCCAACAGCGCGGAGAGCTCCGCGTGGGGTTCTCTGTGGCCGTACTGTCCCTTCGAGGCGGCAGCCGGGAGAAACCGTGTCTGCGGCCGAGCCGCTGCTAACGCGGGCTCGCAGAAGCTAGAGCGTATCAAAGCGTTCTCGGTTTGCTTTGTGAGTGGAAATCGCACGCAAAAAAAGAGATTCAGGAGAGACCCTAATACCCTAGTTCTAATTTCTGGACGCCACCTCCCCGTTCCCTTCGCCTTACCTCCCAATTTTCTGGTCTGGCAGCAGGAGCTCTGGATGATGCGTCCTATCGGGTCCGGAACCAAAGAACTACTCAACAAATCCCTCTCATACAATCTCTGTATCAACTGTTATCTTCTTCATCCAAATACTAATTTATCCTTACTGCCAAATTTGTCATTTCCCTTGTTATATTCTTATAGTGCTTTGCATATGCTTTTCCTTCTGCCCAGTGCTTTCTCATCTGCAAGATAATCCTCTGCAAATCCTGCAAAATGCAGCTCAGTTGGCATATCTTCTAGAAAGTCTTTCTTAGCATGCACCGTCATCTGTCATGTGTATATTGAGTCCACAGTGCTTTTAGATTTGTAGTCTCAGAAATACAGCGTGCAGTTCTACCCTGTCCCTACAGGGTCACTCTGAACAGAAACTGCTTGATGACAGCGATTTTGATTTTTTTAATTGTTATTATAATTGAGTGGACATTTACTGAACATTTCTTAGAATAAGTGGTTTTATTTTTAAAATTTTAGTGTCTAGCTTCGTACTGATAATGGTACAGACTCGAGAAACATGTGAATGCAGTTGTAGTTGTTACGGCAGTCTCTCGGCGTTTGACATCCTTCTAGGTTTTAGGCAGAATCACTCTGCACTACTCGTCCCATTGCTGGGCTTAAGAATTCTTTGCCCTGGTGATTTACAGTGGATTTGATGAGATTCCACCGCCACACACCCCTCCCTGGAACTGTAAAGAAATGTCAGATCAAATAGGTTTTTTGTTGTTGTTTTTTTTTTTTTATGCTTATAGTTTCAGCAGGAGCTCTGGTGGTGGAGTGGTTATGCCTTGAACTGCAAGCCACACCATCTGCAGTTCAAAAGCACCAGCCAGTCCACGGGAGAAAGACTGAGCTTTTTCCTCCCATAAAGAGTTACAGTCTGTGAAACTCACAGTGGCAGTTCTGTTCTGTCCTACAGGGTTGCATTGACTGGATGGCAGTGAGTTTGTTTGCTTTGATAGCTTTAGGCTCAAGAATTCCCAGTGACAACAGTGGGTTACACATTGGGCTGCTAACCAGAGAGGTCAGTAGTTTGAAACCTCCAGCTCCTCCACAGGAGGAAGATGAGGCTATTGACTCCTGTAAATATTTTGTTTCAGGAACCTACAATGGAGTTCTACCCTGTCCTATAAGATCATTGAGTCCCAAACGAATGGTTTTTAATTTGAGCTTTATGTTCACATCCTAAAATCACTCTGACATTTTCACTGTTATGGTGACGAGAAACATTATTCAAGCACCATTGTGTCTTGCCTATATTTCTCTCATCCCTTCATTCGCCTCTAGTTTTACTCTGCTCTCTAATTCAGTCTTCACAACCTAATAATAGCCAAAGGAAAAACCTAAAGTTGCCATGATATTTAAAATCTTTTGCACTTGTTGTTATACTCACATTTTCATGTGACTTCAAGGCCCTTAATGAGTTTATACTTACTTATATTGCCTCTTACCATGTCTCACCTACTGTACTGCGTGTGCTCTAGCCATTCTAGACTAGTATGCATCCTACCCAAGCTTGCTACCTGGGCTCTTCATTCTCCCAGCTGACAAAACGAGCTAGCCGTCCCTCAGCCTGAACATCTTGTATCCTATATTCCACAATCTAAATTCACTGCCACCACCAGTTTTATTCCTAGAATGCAGTATATCACAATTCATTATAATGGATATGAATATTTCGTAATGGATTTCTCCATAACTAACTACAAGCTTCATGGGGCAATGGCTGGCTATTTTTGTCACAACTGGATTTCCACTGTCTGGCATATCAATGCTTAATTTGCATTTGTTAGCTAAGTAAATGACTAGACGTGTACTTTAAAATTATACTAATATTTAATCACATTTAACTTTGAGAAATTTTTAGAACTACTAGAATAATGGATAGGATAAGAGTAGTCCTATCATGTACCACCAGGTAGCTGAACAAGGACCTACTTAACCAATTCCAGTAGCATCATAGAAGATTTTAGTGTACTTTATTATTCCTCATAAGCATTTATACATGATGTATCAATCAATTTTTTCAATTAAGTTTTTATATGTCTGTTCTGTGCCACTTACTGAAGAATCAGGATCCTCGGCCTGGAGTTTCTTGTAGTCTAACAGATGACATGCCTTTATCCCAGTACTTAAACAGTAATTATGTTTTCATTGTGCTACCTGCTGTGGAAAAGAACTAAGTTACTCTAGAGTGCTGCTCTCATCTTGAGTGGCTTTTCTGCATAGAGGACAGTTAGTAATATCTAGCGACACCTTGGAGAGATGATGGAGAGCCGGTAGTACTACTGTCGTCTAGTGGGTGGGTGCTGGAGGACAGCCCCCCACAACAAAGCATTATTCAATTCAAAACGTCAGTAGTGCTGAAGCTGAGAAACTGTCCTCTAGCTTTATCACTAGGGAGCTTAGTCTGCAGTAGTCAGAAGTACTTCATAGGGAAGTGGCACTGTAAGAGAACAAGCAGAAGTTACTTATTGGAGTGAGAGGTCGTAGGTTAGAATATAGACAGAAGAAAAGTACGTGGAAGGATTTGAAGGGCACATCCACATTTGGCGTATTAGTAAAGCCCCAAACAAAAAATATACATGCCTGCATGTGTCCCTTTGTGCAAAGGATGAATGGCACAAAAGGATTTTAGTGAGATAGGCAGACATCTACTAAGCAGAGGTTCTCAACCTGTGGGCCGCGGCCCCTTGGAGGGGGTATGTGTTGAAAGACCCTTTCACAGGGGTCACCTAAGACCATCAGAAAATACATTATGATTTACATTATGATTCATAACAGTAGCAAAGTTACAGTTAAGAAGTAACGGAATAATTTTATGGTTGTAGGTCACCACGACATAAGGGAACTGTGTTACAGGGTCACGGCATCAGGAAGGTTGAGACCCACTGCACTAATGTGAAGCTCTGCAGGTCATGAACTATTTTGAAGTTGTCTATAAAATGAACTTTATAATGAATACATTGTTGGCCTTTCAGAGTACATTATTAATTAAATGAGTCAGTTTTAGTGGACAGGTTGAGTTGTAAAAAAGGATAAGTTAAAGCATTGCTAAAAAATCATAAAAAGTATTATATACAAATATTAAAATGTGTAGTTGTTTTTCAGCATAGCCTCCACTAGCTCTGCATGCTTTTGAAGCTTTTCTATATCTCTGTAACCTGTTACTAAAGAATTCATAGCTCTTTGATTTTAAATTATATCAAAATATGTTCCTTTAAAATGTTCTTTGAGTTTGGGGGACAAAAATAGTCCAGGCTAGGAGGGCAAGATCAGGTCTGTAGAAGGGATTATTAAGTAAGATTTTCCAATAAAATTCTCACAAAAGCCTTGCTACCTGCAGATTCAGTATTACAGGGGGGGGGGGGGGGGGCGGTGGGTGAAATCCTTATCGCAATTCTCCTCACTGATGTCCTCGTGAATGCAGTTTTCAGTTTTATTTTTCCTACCATTTAGTGATGAAGGCCATAGTTTCCTGTTTTCACCAGTTTATATCAGACTAGTCATCCTGGCCTTTTTGTTGTTATGATTTTGAGCTTTGTTCCACATTTTTCTCCCATTCTATGCATGATTCTGTTGTGATCCCATTTAGATTGGTTAACAGTTACCATCTAGTTCTTCTGGTTTCAAGGTGTTAAAACTTTTTCATCATAAGCCCCATGCTCATCCTGTGCTCTTTAAGAAAGTTTTAAAAGTTACTCCTGTGGGGTCCCTAAACCCTCACTATAACCTTCTAAATTGATCTCTCTGCTTTGAATCTAAGTCACCTGCAGGTCTCAGAAGCCAGTGGTTTGTTTGGACCTTGTTTTAAAAGGCACCCAAAGGAAACTCTAAGAATAATGTACATTGAAAGTGCACATCAGGATCTATCCTCTGATAATTATTTTGAAGATTATTTTAATTTAAACAGTAGAGTAAAATGGGTTGTTATGTAAATCAGAATGAATAGAAATAAGGAATATAGATTCATCTTAGTATAGACTCTCATTGGTTTGTATTAGCTACACAATTGACTCTTTTCTCATGAAGCACAAACAGGAGAAGCAGACTATCTAGAGCAGCCATCACGAAGTGATTTCTCAAAGCACTTGAAAGAAGAAACGGTTCGAGTAATTACCACGGCATCACATGAGCATGAAGACAAAAGCCCTGAAACAGTTTTGCAATTGGTAAGAACTTTTCTTTTAGCTTTTTGAACACAACCATGTTGACAGCATGTCCTAGCAATGTACCGGGGGGTGAAGAGGAGTGTCATAGCGAGTGATCTGCCTACGAGTCAGAGACGTAGGGTCAAGTGACAGTGGACCAGCCACCTAAACCCAAGGCGATGGCTTTCTAAACAGGACAGAGGGCTTAGTCTTCCTCTTAGTGGCTTATGATAAGTCATAAGTGCATTGACCATTAGATTTTGAAACTTTGAAAGAATATTATCAAATTTATCAGGATTCCACTCTTTCTAACACTCTCTCCAGTTAAAGTTTTATTACATTAGAGGAATTAGGAATTTAAAGTTTTAAATTCAATGAATTTGACATTTGACAACAAAATTACTATGTGCTCTAGGTTGAGAATAATACAGGATCTGTATGATCTTATGATCTTACCAAAGCTGTTTTATACATATTTCAATGGGGTGCCCTGTATAAAAACGAGCATTCTCATCTTAATATACTGTACTTCTCAGGTATGTCTTTCTATAGCATTGAATTAAATTGAGCACATTCAAATTGTAATATTATTGATATATCATACAAAAAATATGTATTTCAAGAACTTAGAACTACAGAAGAATATGCCATAGTTGTTTGTCTTTTTTTTTCCATCTGCACAAGCAGTCAATCCTAATGTTGGTTTCATGACAGTTAATTTAAGTATTTGAATTTTCCCCTGTTAGAAAACTAGAAAGAAAAGTATATCTCAAAATTTTAGGTTGCTGAATTTTATGCTATCCAAGTGACTTTAGCATGTAAATTTCAATGAGGTCTTTTAACACAGTAAGATTTTCATTATCCAAAAATTTCAATAACTAGATTATTTTTGTTCATGATGCTGATGAACTATTAATCAGAAGTTAAGTTTTTAATTTATATTGGGACGTTTTGGAACATATATTAATACATAATCTTATCAAAGCAAACAAAATAACTGCCAATAATAGATTACTGCCATTAGATTTATTATACTGAGATTCCCAACATGTCTTAAAGACTTCAAGTGAGCTCTGATGAACATCTCTTGGCGCTAAAGCATTTCATGGCGCATGTTTCCTTTAATGAATCTGTGGTATCTGTTTCTTGGGCGATGGCAGAAGAGGGAAACGCTCAGACAAGAGGAGGAGCAGAGTGGTATGTAGGTTTAAGAGAAACATTTTTGCTTGATATCAGAACATTTTTCCAGGGCCCGTGCCAATTGGGATTTTATTTGTTAGAGCTTACATTGGGTCACTAAGCTGGAATCGACGGTGGCAGTGAGTGTGATGTTAGCGAGTTTTTACAGTTTACGTCATAGCTAGAACATCCATTCAAATCCAATCAGAAGAAATACAAAAACAAAACATTATAGAATTATACTGTGTATACTCGAGTATAAGCCGACCCAAATATATGCCGAGGCATCTAATTCTACCACAAAACTGCATTAAAAATGTGCTGAAAAACTCGGCTTATACTCGAGTATAGTATACGTTTCCTACTTATATATGATTTAAATTCCCAGAAATTAGCACTTAAATTTTGATTCCTTAGTTCCTTTTTTATGAATGTTGTCTTGTAAACTACCAACCAACTTTCACTCACACAGGAAAGTAAGAGGCTAAGGAGAGAATATGACACGTGTTTTTCTCATTTGTTTGCCTTTTAAATGGTGCCCAAGGTTGGTCCTATAGTCTATATAAATCTGCAGAATATATACAGATGTACTAATATCATATCTTTGTCACAAGAGGCTTGTGATTCTTGGTTCATGGCCAAGTGATTAAAAAAAAATCAAAACCTGTTGAGTTGATTCCAAGTCATAGCAACCCTATAGGACTGAATAGAACTGTGCATAGGGTTTTCCAGGCTATCTGCATCTGTACAGAGGTCACGTCCCTCCACGTGGAACAGCTAGTGGGCTAAAACTGCTGACCTTTCAGTTTGCAGCTGAGTGCTTAACCAATGCACCAGCAGGGCTCCTGGTCAGTTGTTTAGGATCACAGTAATCACCTGTGTTTGGCTTTTCTCATTCAATCCTATAGCATAAATAGATCCTTAATTGTGTAGGCTGAAAACATCTTTAGACTGAATCAGATGGCTCTGAGTTTTCAAAAGAACCTGGGTGTAGTTGTTAGTTCTTTTCCTTTACTTAAACCTTAACTATCTTAGGAATATAATGTTATTAAGTTCCAACTATAGTATAAGAACGTCCTGGAAAGCTTAGAATTGGAGAGATTTTCCAAATGTTTTAATAGTCTGAACTTTGAAAGAATGTCATCAGTATTTGAAAAATTCAGAAAAGTAGACCTCAGGAAAGAATACACATTTTCACTGTCAAACATAATCATTGTTAATATGTTGGTATGTGTTCTTTGCTTTTATTTGTATACACAAGTTTTGGATTTATTTTCCATAATTGGCTTATTAAATATGCAATGTTATAACTTGCCTTCTCTTTTTGACTCACCTAACCTTATCACTGTATCTTCCTGTTATTCATATTTTATAAAAAATAATTTAATGACTGAATATTATTCCATTGAGTGATTAAATTTTTATTTACTTACCTCTTCCCCTATTGCATATTTGTTTTTACTTTTATATTCTTATGATCTTTTTGAAATAAAAATTTTCATATTTCTGATTATTTCTTTAGAAATAATCCACCGTATTTGAGTAATTAAATTAAGGCTGTGGACATTTTTAAAGCTTTGGCCAAGGAACTATAGTTAAAAAGCTTCCTAACAACTCTGATGAGACCATTTATTTATTATTTTTAACTTGAATAGTTAAAATTTTACTAATTAATACATTATTTTGTATAACATTAACTGAAAATTTTGTTATAGCACTGAACAATCAATGTTAGTTTTTCATAAACTGTTTGCAAAGGGCCTGTCAGGAATAGAAAAAAAAATCAATATGCATATAGTAATATTTTCCTTTGTGAACTCCAAAAATATCACCCTTGAGTTCTTTGTGGGGAAAAAAAAAAAGTAGTAGTGGTTTAGGATTACCTTAACTTAATGAGAGGAGCCCTGGTCATGTTGCGGCTTATGAAACTGCTAACTTGCAAGGTCAGCAGTTTGAATCCCCCAGCCACTGCGCAGGAGAGGAGCAGTTTTGCCCTGTCCTGGAGTGTCTCCGTGAGGCAGAATTGGCTAGATAGCAGTGGGGATAACGAAACTGAATGAACGGATGCATGAAATGAATGTGATACCTCAGAGTTGTGCGCCAAGCTTTCCTTGTTCACGTGTCACCATGTGATCAGCATTGTATTGCTTACACTCTTCTTTAGTAACTGGATAGACTTGCAAAATATTCCCCTAAGGGCTCGCTCTGGCCCTTTTTGAAATGGAGAGATGGCTCTATCTTGGTTTTGAATAACTCAGGAAAAAGTTTCTAAATGCAGATTTGTTTTTTCAAAGGGAATAAATATGTTTTTGATTTTCTTTAAAGGATCAGTTTTTAAAATAATACTTTTCTTAGTTGCTACTTTAATTAGATAAATATATGTTTTCTGTTTCTAGCATGCTATTACTTTGGATTGATTTGCTAGTGAGTAATTCTTCACTAGAAAGTCAGGCAAATTCCTGAATTTACCTCAGAAACCTTTCTCTTATATGCTGGAGAACTTTAAAATTTCTAATTAAATTTATCATTGGCCAAGCATATGGCTAGTGGATCTATGTGATAGTCCTATTTGAGCTAAAATTATTTAAATATAGGAATTAAAAGTAGCATACTAAAGTAGTATAGTGTAATATTTGCTAAGACAGGGTATTGTGTTAGTTGATTATTATCCCTCATGATCACAACAACTATACAAGGTGTCTATTTACATCTAAGAACCTGAGTATCTAAAGAAAGTAAGAAACATTTTTCTAAAGTTTTGGTTAAAAATAACTTTTTAAAAAATGTACCAGTCTTAGCCATTAGTTTTCCTTTATTGTTGAGTTACTGACATTGACCTTCTGGAAAACCAGAAGATAGATATTCATGTTCTGAATTTTACTTATATTTAAGATTGAAGTAAAATCCCTTAAATTAGTCTAAGTAAAAATGTCTACTTTATGTCAGAACTGTACTTGGGAAAAAATTTTGTTCTTAGTAAAACTGTTCTTTATGGTGCAAACTGAAATTACTTAAGCAAACTGCTTTTAAACATCGTGAGTACTTTTAAGCTCTGTTAGAGGTAAATGGGGACATACGTAGTTATAAATCTATTCAGTGAAATGAGACCTGTTTGGGATTACTGGGTTTGTTTTCTTTTAAACCTAGCCATCAGCTATATAGACAGCCTTACTAAATACAGTATTCGTATTTTTTATTTGTATGGGTTTATAGTCTAAAATGATTTGGGGGGATAGGAAAAAAATTGTGTTGGAGATGGAAAGAAAGCTGTCGATTTTTTACTATTACCTGATTGATGCATTTGTCTCCGATATTCACTTGTAGGTGGCTTCATTGATGGACATATCTTAGGAAACTAGCAAGTCTATACACTCAAGCATAGCTTCCCACTGTTCTCTTTTCTCACGTTGATACTGATTTTTTTCTGCAGAAACCTGAAAATGCCACAAGCCAACCACCTTCTAACCAGCAAGTTGTAGAGGTGGCAAATCCTCCTGTAGGGAAATTTATGATTGAGTCAAAGGAGGGAGGTTATGATGACGAGGTACCTTTATTATAGCCCTCTGCACCATTCCTCCTTATTTTTCTTTCGTGTGTGTGTGTGTGTGTGTGTGTGTGTGTACTGATAACAAGAAAAGTACTGTGGGCATGCGTGCACTCTCACATTTACATCTCCCGCACGTAGCTTACAGCTCTGCCATCAGCAGTCTGAAATTAACTTACCAATTGCTACCAGGACTTTGGATTTTAAATGCAAATTTAATTACAAAACCTAAAGAATTTAACAAAAGGATAAGTTTATGTTTCTGGAATTCCTTTTTATAAATATAAAAAATAGATCACTCTCAGGTTAATGGCTTTGAATAGAGTTTGTTGAGTTTAATTATAAACTTATTTTGTTTTTCTTTTTTTGCCTTACTTGAATTTATATAATAGTGGGCTCAATATTTTCATCCAGTAAATCTTACCGCATCAGTGCAAAGTAGGTAATTTCTATTTCTGGTTCTGCGACTTTTCTGTGTGCCTGTGAATCAGATGACTCACTGGCATTACTGCATGCGGACAGGTGTCGGCAGTGGCCTCATGCTGTTCTTCCTTTTACTCTATTTAGGTAGTTTTTCAACAACATGGAGGCATTTTCACTTCTAAAGATATGGTTCTTATGAATCCAAATGAAAATGTTGTTATCCTAGGCCATCATGTTATTTCTTATTTTTCTGCTTTCTCTCTGAGATTCGTAGGGTTATTCTTTTTTAATGTTAGGAGAGCCATTTCTGAATACTAAAAAGAAAGAAAAAAAAAGACCATGTATTGGGGAGGCTGAACCTTTGAGAAAAAACTTGATGGATTCCCTTATTTGTTACTTTTTACTGGAATAGACAAGTGAGAATTGAACATATTTTAAATTTTTCCAGGTAACGTTTTTCCAGATTTATTCCAAAGTTGTATTTACTAAACACTGTTAGTCCCCGATATCAAAAATTTTCTGATGACAATGGATTTCACCATGCTAGCATATGAAAACATGAGCTATAAAAATAATATGAAGCAGTTTAATGAGGTAGCGCCTTGTCAGAAGGGTTTTTCTTGCTTATATAATGTTAGATATAATGCTCACTGTTTACTTCCAATTAAATACAGTTAATAAGCTTTTAGTGCATGATATAACGTGTGTAATATCTTGGCTTGTTCTAAGAAGATAGCTTCATGGGGCATTGAACTCATTTGCTTTGCGGCAATTTTGAAATATAAACGACTGAGAATAAGTTACTGTGAAGACAAAGAAGTGCTTTAGTAGTAGTACATATTCCAAAGAACGTTTTATTATGTTATTAGCTCTTGAAAATTAGAGCAAGTGACCTGTTTTTCATAAAAATATTTATTGATTAAGCAGCTAAGTGTTAAATGTGTGTAGTTTTAGAGCGATCCTTCTGGAATTGTGATTTATCTTGTAATAGTATTTTTCATGCAAGTGCTTATGCTACTAGAAGATGTGGGGTGTGGGTTTTGTTTTTGTTTTTTAAAGAATCAGACAGACTTTAACAGTGCATGTGCCTTGGAACATATGGATACAGGGCTGCTGCTTACACATGTGTGGGCTTTAGAGTTGTGCAGGGGTACCCAGCCAAAAGACTTAAGTAGAGTTAAAATTGAACTCACTCTTAAAAACACATTTTTTTGATTTGTCTGTCTAAAGAGGAGTACTTAGTAAACTTTTCTCAATTCAGAGGCTGCCTTTTTGCAGTTTGCATAAAGGCATCCCATGACCTAGCTGTGGCCCTGTATGGATGGTTTTAAAGATACTTACATGCATATCAGAAATCCATTGCTATACTTTTAAAAAAAAGCAACACTGGACTTGTGAAACACAAAAGAGCTTTTATCTTGCATGTAAATTAATTGGTTTTTTATTTTATTTTTATGTTAACAATTCAAAAACTCTTACTTTAAATCCCTGTGGCAGATCATGATGACACCGAACATGCAAGGTATTATCATGGCGATAGGTAAATCCAGGAGTGTGTATGACAGGTGTGGTCCTGAAGCAGGGTTCTTTAAGGTACAACTAACATTTTCATTTTCCTACTTTAAAATTGAAATTTTAAAAAATGCATTATTTCTTCACTTTTCTTCTTTATAAATGCTTTATTTCTTCATTTAATCTCATTTACCTGTATAATTTTCCTTTCCTATCTTAGCCATGGCTACCTGATTTTTCTTGGGAGAGAAGGGGTTGACACAAGGAGGGGAGTGTTCTTTCATACATATATACAAGACTGACATATTGTATTTTAATCCAGATCATTTGATAATATATTTTATTTGCATTTTATTAGTTGTTAAAATATAAATATGTCATAAATATAATATATAATAAATATAGATATAAATATAAAAATATATTTTATATTTTAAGAAAATAAAAGGAAATTAGTAATGTAGAAATGTAACTGCATTATGTTAATTTATTTTATCATTGTTAACTATACTGGTTCATATTATATTTTTTCTTGAATTTTTATTTGATATAAGTATTCTTCATTTTTGATATATTCAATAATTTATTACTATATACTTAAATTTTTCTGTTTCATAGCCATCTTTCCCCTCATAATTTTAAATATCCTAGTCATGTCAACACATATACTACCATCAAGCTAAACCACTACTCTAGGACTAGGTCTTTTTTCCCTGTAATACCATATCTTTTCAATATTTTTGCAACAGTAGTATTTTCACACACATGAATGCTTTAAAAACACCATTTATGTCTTAAAAAATTTTTTTAAGCAACTGTATTGAAATGTCTTTCACTTACAATAAACTCCGCCCTCTTTCCTTTGGCTTAGTTATTGTTTATGACTGTCAAGCTGATTCTGGTTCATGTACTCACTTGTGTGCAACATAGAATTCCTTAGCTTTCAGAAGCAGACCTGTCTCCTGCAACACCCATAGTTTAGTTTGAGCTACTAGCCTTTCAATCAGGTGCCTAACCATTTGTGCTATCCAGGGACTCCTTTCATTTGGCATTAAAATTCTAAAACTGCCCACAGTATGGGGCATCATCAACCCTGTTTTAACGTTTTCCTGTCCTGTGGTACATATAGCACCGACCTACATTTTCTGCTTTGGGGGTTTAGTGGGAAACTCTTCTCCCACTTTTGTATGTACTGCCATCTAGTGGAGGATTGTAGCTGTGTAAATCTGAAGGATTGTGCCTCATCTCACAGACCACGGCATCAGCTATCTTGTGAATATGATTCCTATCTATTCTTAAGTTATTTGTTGTTTACAGTGCCATTGTAACTTTTTGGAAAATTATGTATCAATAATGAATTGGAAGTCTCATGCTTATTTTATTACCACAAACACCTACTTTAAGGAATTCACTTAGTTGCCCATAGTACAAGTAATAGTCACTGATTTTCATTGGTGATAACTTTCAATTATTTTGTCTCATCTTTCCAGAATTTGTTATTGTTGTAAGGTGATCCTATGCACAACACAACGAAACACTGTCTAGTCCTGCACCACCCTCACAATTATTCCAACATTTAAATAGCAGCCCTGTACTTTTATAATGATCAAATTACACACTACAAAATTTTGTGGGTGATAAATGAGCTGTAAAAACTTTTTGCCCATGCAAACAAAAACATTTTATTTGCTACTCAATATTGAGCTGTGTTATTTTACTTTTTTTCACGTAGCTTTTGTTTGCCTTGGATATGCTCAATTCTGTTTTTGGCTCGCTAGTTTTCTATGCCTGTTGCTGGTTGACTTGAAACACTCAATCTGTTGCTCTCAGTCTGTTCTTAGTGATCTGCTCTGGAGATTTATGACCTGCTCTGGCCTAAGCTGTTGCTCTTTATTCCTGAGAAATAACTAGTGTATTGAGATCTCCTTTCACCATCACCTCGGATGATTTTTATGCCCATTATCTTCCTCTTGTTTGGCTAACTCACCTATTCTGATGGAACAGTTAGAAACTAGGAGCTATGAAAACAATAAGAAGCAGGTTTGTGAGCAGTTTCATATAACTCAATCTAATAATCACAAAACCTTCCTTTCTGCTTTCTTATCTCTTTAGGTTATGTATGTTGGTATTGGTCTGCATTACTGTTAGGTTAATTCTGACTCATAGTGACCCTATAGGACCGACAATACAATTGCCCCATAGGGTTTATAAGGTTGTACATAGTTACAGAAGCAGACTAGACAGACATTTTTATTTTTTTAACTGGAGAAACACTGGTAATTTTGGACCTTCAACCTTTCAGATGATGCTTTAGCCCCTGGCTCCTTGGAATGAATATAGGCACACACAAAAAATACTATCTTTAAGAAATTACAAATTTCTTAAAGTAAACTAGTTAAATTTCTAATTTCTAGTTAAGAAATTACAAATTTCTTAAAGTAAAATTATGTTTTTAATCAGTTTATTAGGGGCTCATACAACTCTTATCACCATCCACACATACATCAATCGTGTAAAGCACATTTGTACATTCATTGCCCTCATCATTTTCAAAACATTTGTTCTCCACTTAAGCCCCTGACATCAGGTCCTCATTTTTCCCTTCCCTCCCGGTTCCCCCCTCCCTCATGAACCCTTGATAATTTATAAATTATTATTTTGTCATGTCTTGCCCTGTATAATGTTTCCCTTCACCCACTTTTCTGTTGTCCATCCCCCAGGGAGGAGGTCACATGTAGATCCTTATAATCGGTTCCCCATTTCAAACCCACCCTCCGTATACCATCCCAGTATCGCCACTCTCACCACTGGTCCTGAAGGGATCATCCACCCTGAATTCCCTGTGTTTCCAGTTCCTGTCTGTACCAGTGTACATCCTCTGATCTAGCCAGACTTGCAAGATAGAATTGGGATCATGATAGTGGTGGGGAGGAAGCATTTAGGAACTAGCGGAAAGTTGTATTTTTCATTGTTGCCACATTGTACCCTGACTGGCTCGTCTCCTCCCCGAGACCCTTTTGTAAGGGGATGTCCAGTTGCCTACAAATGGGCTTTGGGTCTCCACTCCTGACTACCCCCTCTCTTTCACTATGGAAAGATTTTTTGTTCTGATGATGCCTGATACCTGATCCTTCGACACCTCGTGATCGCACAGGTGTGCTTCTTCCATATGGGATTTGTTGCTTCTAAGCTAGATGGCCACTTGTTTACCTTCAAGTTTTTAAGACCTCAGCCACTATATCTTTTGATAGCCAGGCACCATTAACTTTCTTCGCCACATTTGCTTATGCACCCATTTGTCTTCAGCGATCATATCATGGAGGTGAGCACACAATGATATGATTTTTTGTTCATTGATACCTGATCCCTGATCCCTTTGGCACCTCGTGATCACACAGGCTGGTGTGCTTCTTCCATGTGGGCTTTGTTGCTTCTGAGCTAGATGGCTGCTTGTTTACCTTCAAGCCTTTAAGACCCCAGACGCTATATCTTTTGATAGCCGGGCACCATCAGCTTTCTTCACCACCTTTGCTTATTCACCGGCTTTGTCTTCAGCAGTTGTGTTGGGAAGGTGAGCATCATAGAATGCCAATTTAATAGAAAATAGTATTCTTGCATTGAGGGAGTAGTTGAGTGGAGGCCCAAATATCCTTCTACTGCCTTAATACTAAACCTATAAATATATGCACATAGATCTATTTAAAGTAAAATTCTTAAAGTAATTCATGACTATAATTTAGAAGAGTAGAAAACTATCCAAGTAGAATCACTTGGGGTTTTAACTGTGCAGTGGGTTCCCAGTAGCTACATGAGAACAAGGAAGGACGTCCCATGTACAGAGAACTTAGTAAGCAAAGGCCTTACTTAACGCAGTTAGAAAGACTAGCCTACATCCGGAAGGTGTCCATCTTGAAGAGTGATGAATCAAGATTGATTCATGTATCTGGCTAGATTATCTTGTTGAATTTCTAGTGAATGACAAGTATATACATATGTTTACAAAGTTCCATCTCTAATGACCAATATCACTTTTTATTTTGTAGTAGTATAGTGGCTTCATTATAGGGTCTCTAATAGTAATTAACCATCATAGCAAAAAAATATGACAAAGACACACTTAATCTGGAGCTGCGCTCTGAGGAAGTAGTATGAGGCAAGTTGAACAACTCAGTAGTGCCAGCTTTGCTTTTAATAGCAGAGTGTGTACAGCTCTGCTAAATATACCAGCCTGGAACATCTGTTGAGAATATGGGGGACCGGATATGACTCCCAGTACATTTTAAAACTCAGAAAGCTTCTAAAATGGAAGTTTATAAATAAATTACTAAAGGAATGGATTTTTCTTGATGAAAAGTAGAAGGGTTCTTAATGCGTGTGTTTTTGTCTCTACCAATTTAGTAGATTGAAAATACTGTTATCTTGACAGTCTTTTGTGAACATCAGGAGAATCCTGGGTCAAAATGACGATGCTAAGCAACATTTTTTTTTCTTTTCCAAATAGTAAAGGAAAGAATTTTAAAAACTTTTAAGGAAGCATTAAGTGTGTTGGAATCTGAAATGTCAATATTTAATTAATTTTCATTGCTTTTTTTTTTAATCTATGGCAGTACAATTTTGAAAGGGGAAAACGGTTTTCAAATGAAAAGCATTTTAATCATTTGTATTAGCTATAAAGACAGTTATCAAGCTAACCTATATATTTCAATGAAGTATAATATATCAAGATTATTTAAAGATTTTCAGTTGTGGTTTTTCCATCCTGTAAAATACAACTGGAGAGGTGGTTTCTGGATGACCAAGAATTATGCAAAAACACATGCATTTACAAAGCAAGATAAAACTGTTTTCCAAGCAGAATGGATTTTTTGGTGTATATTTTGGAAATGTGTATACACCCATTTTTGTGAGTGTGAATGTATGTGTATGTCAGATTGAGTTAGAATTTTTATGTCTTATGCAAGTAACTATTAAAAAATTATTTAATTGTATGCATGTCTTGTGTACAATATTTGATAATTAGGTCTCTATCCTAAATGAGCAAGTAATTTACAATTCATTGCAAGATATCCTATAAATAACTTGCTCATTTGTGAAAACATGCATTGGTGTATATATAGAATTTATTATATCCCATTACAATTAATTACAGATTCTGAAATGATTCTGCTATTGAGAAAAAGTAAGCTCAAACATTAATGTAATAATAGGGATAGGATGTGGTAAAAATTATTCAAATAAATTGAAACATTGATGAAGCAACAAAGGGTTCTATAGCATTCAGTGCTAATTTCAGGAATATTTTTTTCCCTTATTTGCATCTAGTCATTTCAAAGCTATTTGTAGTACTGTTACTACATGTTCAGGAACCAGCCATTTCTTTCAACTATGGATTTTCTCAGGACCTGTTATATTTTCTCTAATTTGAAAGATTAAAATATATATCATAATGATATTAGAGAGATAATTTGGTTATGAAAAGTTAGCCTATCAGTAATCAAGCTATGAGAACACATAAGTTTGACAGAAATAGTAAGTTTAGATTTAGTCTACCATTTCTATTTTTTGAAAACAAAAGGAGGATTGTATTGTCAGTATTTAGGGGGAAAAATTATCTGTGATTTACAACCTTATTTGTAAAACTTAAAGGGGAAAAATCCAGAAAAACTAAAGGAAAAATGATTAAGTTACAATATTGGAGAATTTTAATTATTATAATTAACCAAAATTGGCGTTTTTATTGTATTTTCTAGGCAATAAAGCTGGAGTATTCCAGATTGGTTGCGTTGGCCCAAGAAGATACCCCACCAGAAACAGATTATCGTTTACGTCATGTTGTGGTCTACTTTATCCAGAACCAGGCGCCCAGAAAAATCATTGAGAAAACACTGCTAGAGCAATTTGGAGATAGAAATTTGAGTTTTGATGAAAGGTAATTTGAAATGAAATACCTAATTCATATACTCAAAATTGTCCACTTTTATTTTCTAACGCAATACTTTTCAATGTTTATTTTACACAGAAACACATTTAAAATAAGTACAACATAGTATTTGACTTTGCCTAATTTGAGAAGCTGCTTTGGGATTTTTCTGGAGTCTGTTCTCGTGATCTTTTAAATTTTAGACTGAAAAATAACTTCAATCATTTAGTAAATTTTATTTGTGAACCAAGGTACTAAGCTAAACAATTGAAGTTTACTCAGAAGAGCGTGTAAGTATACTCAAGGACTTCCTAGTAGGACTCAGTACTATAAAGGGCAAACAAGGAAGATATTTTTATTCTGTTATATAGACCTTTAGAGGTGATCATTTTTGCTATAGGTAAAGGCAGTTATCCTGTATTGTAGCATGCTTAGTAGTACCCACACATCTATAGAACTGTTATATATGGATTATGATGCTGCCAAAAGAACAAACAAACCTGTCTTGGGAGAAGTACAGCCAGAATGCTCTTTAGAGGCAAGGAGGGTGAGACTTTTTCGCACGTGTTTTGGACATGTTGTCATGAGAGACCAATCCCTGGAGAAGGACATGCTTGGTAAAATATAGGGGCAACAAAAAAGGGGAAAGAGTTGACAGTGGACGAATGGATGTGCTCAAACATAAAAACAATGGTGAGGGTGGCACAGGACTGGGCAGTGCTTGCTTCTGTTGTACACCGGGTTGCTGTGAGTCAGGACCAATTTGATGGTACCTAACAACACACTTATATCTGCTAGATTCCAAGAGCATCTCCTGGATCTTGAAAACTCAAAATGTTTATATTGTCAATTGAAAGCAAAACCACCCCTGTGTTGAATGGACTGGAGAAAAGTATTGAGCAAATATATAAATAGTACCCTCTAACAATTCGAGGAAGGAGCCTTGATGGCATAGTAGTTACACATTGGATCCACAAAGTCAGTAGTTCAAAACCACCGGCCTCTTCCAGGGAGAAAACAGGGCTTTCTACGCCCTGTAAAGAGTCTTGGAAAATCTCAGAGGCAGTTCTGCCTCATCCTAATGGGTCACAATGAAGCAGCATCAACTGTAAGGATTTCTCAGAGCTGGGAGGCAAAGGGTATTTATAGAGCTCTAGATAAAGACATGTACATATACAAATATATTATATCAGGATGGGGAAATAGATCTATGAACCTACATCTATAGGTTTAGTATTAAGGTAGGAGAAGGACATTGGGCCTCCACTCAAGTACTCCCTCAACACAAGAATACTTTCTTCTAGTAACTTGGCATTCTATGATGCTCACCTTCCCGACACAACCGCTGAAGACAAAGCGGGTGAATAAGCAAATGTGGTGAAGAAAGCTGATGGTGCCCGG